GAAGGGAATGTGGCAGGGCCACTCCCTCCTAAAGGGCGATTTCTCTCTTTCTCTCTGGTGCATGCACATGTCTCATAGTAAAGACCACCTTAAAATTAAATGTGTGTGTGTGTACATATATATATCAACCAAAGAGTATTACATGGCATTAACAACATCTAAACCTACTTTCTGTACACATATACGTACACACACACACACACACACACACACACGTGATTATTGCTCATGCCTTCAGAAAGGAATGGGCCTAATTTTTAACTGGGTTAATATGTTTCCAATAGGTATCAATGTTATAAAGAGTAGGGTTTTTGGGACCAGCAGTTAGCGTAATGGCTGTGTCACTGGACTCCCATGTAGTCGACCACAGTTTGAGTCCCGGACCCGGTGGCTTAAACTCATGCTGGGCACGTGTGCGTGTGTGCCCAGGATCCCGAGAGGAGAATGGAGGAGAAGGGATTGCAGCTTGGCCATCCTCCCCCAGGGGTGTGTGTGTGTGTGTGATTTCTCGCTTTCTATCTCTCTGTCGCTCTCTGTCTTTCTGGCAAGTGCATGCGCCAAAAACCTCTCTTCTCCCCCACCCCCCCCAAAAAAGAAAGAGTAGGGTTCCTGTTGGAAAAAAAGGACAAATTCCTGTTTCATAATAACATTCTTATTGAAATAATGTTTCCACATTTTTGTTTCTTCCTTTAAAAAAATTTGCCAGAGGGTATGTGTGCTCATCAGGAAGAGAAAGGAAAAGTGAGAAAGCACCTCCAATGGGGAATGGCCACACTGCAAGTCCTTCTCCACATCTTTCTCTTCTTTCAGGATTTTGGGCATGTACGCACACATGCCCTAGGTGGTTTTTTTTTTTTTGTTTTTTTTTGAGCCACAGGGTCCGGAACTCAGCCACGCAGTTTCCCATGTGGGTTCCAGCTGCCTTAATCACCCCGCTACTGGCTGGCTCTGTTTTTACATTTTTTAATTTCCTCCACATCTATTATCTCATTTGATGCTATCAATAGGCCCACCAAGACAGGGAAAGTACACACTAAGGCCCCAGTAGGGACTCAGGTTTCCCAAATATTCATTCTGTGTTCTTTGTGCTTTTCACCAGATAGCCTAAATATATAAGATACTACAGTAACTTACCGTAGTGGTTCTTAAAAACATCCCCAAATTTGGGATCATAATCACACCTATCCCAGGGCTAGGATTAAATTGGTACTCATAGACCACAATAATTAGCACAGAGTAAGTTAAGTGCTAGCTATTGTTATTATTATTAAACGCCAGGTCAGTGTGGTGGATAAGAGAGTGAACTCTGGAGCCAGACCCCCTGGGCTGGAATCCTGGCTCTACCACACACCTGTCTCATTAAGCTGTAGCTAAAGCTCTTAGAGGAAAACCGAGCATGGAGTGATACCATATAGATGACAGTCACTGTTATTACATGATAGCTCTAGTACTTAAACTCCTAGGTAATAATTTGCCCTGAATTACTTAGTAAAATTGATGGAGCTGATTGTAATCTCCCTGTCTTTTTTTTTTTTTCCCCTTTGGATAAATTATGCAGTCAAGTTCCCCACATTTGGGGAAATAGCAGGGGTCAGCACCTTCAGAGCACAATGCATAAGCCTCGCCCTGGGAAAACCACCTTTGTGATCACGGTATCTCCCCTGCCAGGTAAGTATGTAATCTCTCTCTTTCTAATTTTTTTTTTTTTTTTTTTTGGCTAGAGAGTATGTGTGCTCACCAGGGAGAGACAGAGAGAGAAACAGAGAGAGGGAGAAAGCACACTCCCACCCCCATGGGGCATGGTCATGCCACCAATCCCTTCTCCACTTTCTCCATCCTGTCTGGAGTTTGGGCTGGCACACATGCACCCATGCACCAATCGTGTTTCTCAAGTTGCTGGGTCTGGGACTCAAACTGCAGGGGCTGGCTGCCCTAACCACTAGGCCCCCAAAATAGCCCAGGTTGGATTGCAATCTCCATCTCTGTACATTTTGCTACCCTTATAGGAATGTTGCCTCTCTAGGTTACTTTCTTTTTCCATAATTCATAAACTGTGTTTTATTTCCTTTTCACATCTCCTTTGTGGTCAATGTTTCATTTTCCTTTACCAAACTGAAAAGCTTTTTCAAATTCAACATTTATAAAAAATGTCTATTACAAAAATGCTAACCCAAATGTCCTTGTTAGGGTCTCAGTTTATGCTCACTATGCACATTTGCATTTGTAAGGAGCTGTTTTTGTGCTTTGAATTGTTTTTCCTTTCTGAACATATTCAAGTCCACTAGTGAGTGAGCTCCTTGAGCTCTGCATTTCTATTCAAGTCTTGTTAATTTACTCAACAGCGTCTAGAACAGGACAGTGCCATAGCTCGGCTAGCTATTCAGTAATTTACCAAATGACTGGCAGGCCTGCTCTGGACTTTATTCTATTTTCTCCCCCTTGGTTATCGGCTGAGTAGCTTGGTCAGGAGCTGTCACGAACTTGCAAATCTCATGGCCATGTAAAACTGATCTAGTCAATATCTTTCGTCTAATTGAGGCTAAGGATTTAGTTGTATATTGTTCAGCACCTTCCACTCCAAAGAAGATCTAAAAACTAACGCCCCGGGTCCTCAGGTTCCAGGAGTGTTTCCTGTTTTTTGTTCTTTTCCCCATCAAGAAACAGAACCCAGTGCTCACAGCCAAGGGAGGAGGGTGGACAGAGGAATGTCTCCAGATCTTTCGCAGTGAAAAAAAGGAAAGTTAAGTAGACTCCATAGCTTTTTGGTTTTGTTCCTCCTTTTTCCCCTCCAGGATAGTGGTGGCAGCTGATCAGACACAATAGCTGGCAGTCCCCCGCTGAAATGAGGATAAAAATGACCCTCAACAGCACCAGCAGGGGGACTGGGAAAAGGAGGAGGGTGTGTCTGGGAGGGGCGAGGATATGGGGATGACAAGGTGACAAACGCCGTCAGGGCAAGCTACTGCACTCCAGCCAGGCCAGGATCTGAGGTGGAGAGCCACCTCCCCAGAGGGAGTGGGAGGTAAGAAGGGGAGGCCGGGGGGTGGTGCTTTCCTCCTGGGGGGCGGGGCAAAGGGTGGAGGGAAGTCTGAGTCATCAGCCTCTAATTGGCTCGTGTTCTCTCGTCGCGTCTCCCGATTGGGCCATTTGCAGCGGGAGATGTTGGGAGGCGCGGCCGGGCGGAGCCAGCCGCCGGGGGTCTGCGACCAGGCCCGGGAATTGGGTAGGGAGGGGCGCGGCGGGCCTCGCGGCCCGGGGACCCCGCGGGGGCCGCGGAGC